TAATTATTACATATGCACGGACATGCGCACAATACCGTAGAGAAAACGACAGAATTGCCCGAAATAATTAATTCCACCTTTAATTCCGCGCACACCAACGCGTCGCTCAAGCTTTTCCCACGTTTTAACTTGATATCGGATAATAAGGTTAATTTTACGAGACGCTAAAAGAGGGAATACTCCGTCCCAAGATCCTTTCCGGTTTTCGCAACGAACGTCACCGCCTGAAGGCATCATATATGGAGCAACCAGACGCAATTGCATTACGCACCCGGCACGTGCGTGTAATTGCGTTTTACATGCGAATTAAGCGAGTCGCTTCAACCAAGGCGACGAAACTCGCTCTCGGAGTTCTCGTATCAAATCCGGCTTTTGTACCGTGCAGGAGATGCGCGCTTCCCCTCTCTCTCTTAGTTTTTTTTTTCCTTTTTTCTTTTATTAACCACGACCAAATCCGAGCACAGACGCTGTAAACTGGCGGCGGATAAACCACCTTGTCTGAGCACACGTGGCACAAGCAGGGGTTAAAACGCCGATAAAAGTGTGCTACGGTAGGGGTGGAAAGGAGCGACCGCGTGCGTATGCGATATTACACGCTCGCTCGTTATCTCTCTCTCTCTCTCTCTCTTTCCCCTCTTTTCGGGGAACGTTCGAAGATTTCATTTGCGGTGGTTATGCAGTACAAAAAGCGCTGTACGCGCGAGATTGCATTCGTTGGCGGAAACAGGAGTAACGGGACGGGGCAGACAGCGAGGAATTAATTAATTAGGAGTGGCGAGGGAGATGCAGATCCCAAACGTTCATCGTACTCCTGTAGACGTAAGATAACGCCGGTACATTGCCGCGACAAAAGTTCGTCACAAAGGATATTAAAGCGAGAGACCGCTGAATACCGAATGTTCCCCCCTCCCCTGAAACACAATGGATATTGTACGGAAAACAGGCGAGAGTCTTCTTCTCTCTTTATTTTTTTCTATGTACATTCCTTTTACTTCAGTAGAGCCATTTTCTCGCGTGTATTTCACGAGCCACCCGATGGCTATTTAAGCCGTACGGTATTTTAGCGCGATATAAATTAAAGCAGGTTATTTCGCCCTCCTCCTTCCCCGTCGAAGTATGTTGTTTCATGTTTTTATTCTCGCGCGGAGGCGTCGCTGTTTTCTCATGAATAAAAAAAGCCACGGGATCAAACGAGGTTAAAGTACTGATAAAGACTGCGTCAATATCACCGCGTTCGTGCGTGCGCGCTATTACCTTCTTCCAGGTTACTGTAACCTGTCCGGAACAACAAACACGCAACTCAAGTAATATTTTCAAAATACTCCCTACCCGATAGAAACTACGGGGAAAGTTCGGCTCCTCCCTTCAATCGCGTTACCGTTACTTTATTTACCGCCTTCTAACTTTCCGCTATACACTTTCGTCGATATTGCGACCAGGTCTGGGGCCAAAGTATCGAAACTCATCTCTCTTTGCAACATGTTGATTGCACATTCCGCGTTACTCTTTCTCTCTTTCTCTCTCTCTCTTCATATATTTTCTGGCAGGTTATTTATACGAAGGAAGACTGTATAAATAAGAACGCGGTTATCGTGGGTATAATGTGAGCGAGAGGAGCGTTCAGAAAGGCCATCGCGGCACGTGTAGTGCTGCTCTCCTCATCGTCTCCTGCTTTCCGAATCTTTGCCCAGGATCGAAGTGCACGTCCCGAATACACCGTTTTATCTCGGTGGTGCGCGAATTGCGGCTCGTTAAAATTTGATTTAGCTCTTGCATATTTTAGACGAGATTTGCATCGCGTCGCGCGGCTCAAGATAAAAAGCGAAACCCGAAGAGATGTGTACATACCGCCGTTGCTGCCGTCGCCGCGACGGGAACGTTGAAAAATATATCGCCACGTGTAAACCGTCGTACGCTGCCGGGTTAATCGACGTTTCTCATAGTATTGCCCGCTGCCTCACGATTTTATCTCCCGTCGATCCGAGTTGGCAACGCGAATGATTTCTTTCCGCGAATGTTTGTACGAACGCTTTATCTCTTTAGAATGCGGAAGTCAATGTTTACTCGCGCTAAAAATCATACACGAGCGTAAACCGCTCTTCGGTAAGATTAAAGCAACCCGTCGAAAATCAACATGACGTAATAATTCCATTTCGAACGTACCTATGCGATAATTAATTGCACACTCCAACGTGTTAATTAAATAAATATGAAGCTATGAGTCTTGATTTCGCGTCCAGCGCGCGATTTGAGAAGTAAAATCTTCTCAATCAAGCTCGTAATATGTAATTTAATAAATACAGAGCAAAATAAAACCCCTGTACAAATCAACGCGAATCGTGAAATTTGCGGTAGAGAGGAAATAATATTAGCGAGTCGGAGTTACATTTTAATTACTGAGATGCATCAAGATATTGAAGTTCCGGGTGTATCGGTGTATTGTATGACGCGAAAGTCGCGAGTGCCTTGGAAAGAACAATACGTCTGGTTTATACCATCCTGTGTAATCTTATGTTGTATCACGTGCGACGGTCGCGCCGCGAATAATTTCGCTCTGGATATTTTGCACGAAATACATTACGGCCCTTGGAAACTTGTAACGAGATTATCGCGTCGTAGCTACTTTGTATTTCAGCGTCATCGGTGTCTCCTAAACTTTTCTCGATACGGCTGACAGTACATAAATATTAATAATGTGTTTGTCGCGATTCCATTTTGCTTAAATCGCGGCGCGTTCAAATCGCGACGTCGTTTGACAAAGTCGATTTTACACAGTCGTTAACATGCTGACTGCCATGCTGATTTTGGCGAATTGTTTTCCGAAGCTTAACTGAAGTTCGAATAACCAAAGTTATGGTAAGTACATGGTATTTCCTGCCGTGTATATATTTGTCAGCTGGTTTTATCAGCTTTCTATTGCTTCGTTAGGCGCAATCAGTTACGCTTTATGCGTTAATTAATGAAACACGACAATGCTATAGTGTCTGTCACCGGCGATCCACATGGCAGTTTACGTGTTAAACGCATCGTTGAAGACATTCGATGCAGTCTTTTTACACAGAGTTAATTCTGTACTCCCTATTATAGTTAAAAAACAATCAACAAGATAGAAACAAAGCGTATTCAAGCGACATCGCTGTATACCTGGTAAAAATGTATGTACGAAAATAAAAATTGAAATAGCGTTTCCATCGTAATGTTATATTTGTAACAGAGACACGGAATAATAATATGGAATTCAGACGAATATAAGCAAATGTTTTATTCTCTAAAATAACAAACGTGTTGATGTTGTGCGAAATGCTGCATGCCCCCTATTGTGTTATACATTTCCAATTGTAAAATATTGTTCCAATTAAAATCACGTCGAATTCGACGTTCGTTGAACTTTAACGTTTCTCATTTAAAGCGAACGTCTTACGCGTGCAGGCAACCGTTACAATTTTAACTCGGCGAATTTGGATTATTATATCTGCGAGTAAGCTCGCTATTTCTATTCGAGATCTGCGTCGCTGTTATTAAAACGTCATAATATAATTACAGGATATACGTATAACTTTCTAACAACCTAGTTCAACGACAAGTTGAATGACGAGACCAAACTCAGCGCAGTTATGCTTCGTGCGCTGGATAGCGTTGAAAGGGTGTTGCCGTGTACAGAGTGTTTCGCGACTTCGTTTCGATAACTATTGACTAATCAAAATCACTTCGTGAAGTGGTTAAAAATATTACACATACGTCAACGTGATACAAAATAATTTGTAGATTCACCGATTCGCCGGTCGAAAAACGCATCATTTTGCGTATTCACTCGTACAAGTAAATCAATATTCTATCAGTTACGTTGACTCCTCTCGACTTTTTCACACAAGTATCCCGTATTTTATAAACGGTACATTTAACAAAAAAAAAGAAATGATGATAAAAAGGAGATAAAAATTTGCAACATATCGTATTTCAGGATTTTCTCTCCCGTCGTTTTTTTCTTGATATTCTTTACTAGAACGCAATTTCAGGCCCTCAGATCGTCTTAGTTTCGCCAGATTCGGCGATCGGAACGGGGGATATTAGATATCTCCATTTCGCTCCGGTAATTCCAACATCACAAGACACCCTGTAGAGCAGCGGTTGTAAGAGCCTCCGGCAGATCCGACGTGCGTGCGTGCATGCGTGCAATTACTACCTACATATCGCATCGGTCACGAACGCCTCGACGTCCGGTTTCCTGACAAAACCGGCACGGCGCGGCATCGCGACGCCCGCTTCCCACCCGATATCAAAATTCCATGCCTGGCACGCGCTGGAATTTTTTACGGCCTCCGGTGCGTCAGTGTGGTGTGGTGTCACGAGAGCGGCGACCACACCCTGGCGGCTCAACACGACCTCGCGGAAGGGTAGCTAAGTAAGGACACGGCGTGCGAGAGGGGGAAGGGAAATACTAGCGGTAGAAAAATAGTGCGAATGGAAACGGTGGGACGAGCAAGTTTCCCCGGACACTCCATAGGTTCTAATGGCGATGACGAGGAAGATATACAGAATGTTACGTAATATATGGGGAGCACTTATGGAACGAAGGATGAAGAAAGCGCGGGATAAAATCTATCTGTACGCTGGAAAATAATTTATCTTCCTATTTATAGCAGAGACGAAGCATCTGCGGTGAAACGTTCGACACGTCTCGCCGACTCGCGTGAGAATGTGAATATTTTTAATCAAACGAGGGGGAGGGGATACGTTTTGCGACGCGAATATACCCTCAGGCACCTGTTCGAGCACACGTTCTATTAATTATAATCGATAAAGTAACGTTTTTTTGGCCTTGTTAAACGGATCTTTTTTTCGCTTCGAGATTCGATACAGTCTATTTCGCGAATATATGCCGCGCGTGCGGCATTCTTGTGCAAGAGATCGGGTCCTTTCGCACACCACAGATCTCATCAATCCCCCACACCTGTGTCTCTCTGTGCCGCTGTGTATCTCTCTGTGCTTATTGTTTCCAGAACCCTCGCCGTTGTACGACAACAACCACTACCATGAGGAGTGCCTAAAATGTAACAGCTGCGGCCTGAATCTCACGGGACCCAATCAGAAGCGGGCGAGACGGTGAGTACGAGTAAGACGCACTTCCGGCGAGAGTCGTAAAACGATATTACGCTTTAGTAATCAGTGCCGTCGTAACCGGTGCCTCATTAATGCGCGAAGCGCCTCTTTACCTTTAATTATCGCGCTCGCTTCGTCGCGTTCCCATTTCAGCCGGGACTTCCGGCGCGGCGTTAACGATCGTTAATCGAACACCGTCCGCTGACAATTCGCCGTATATGAAAAAAAGGAAAAAGGAAAAAAAAGAGATATATAGTCAGTCCACCTACCCGCCGAAATCACGAGAGAAAGTTTCTCCTTGCCAGCATTCGCGCCGAGTTCGGGGGAGGACGGCTTTTGAGCTTAGGATGGATAAAAAGGGTCTTTGGCGAGACCACGCCTGTATTTACCGCTTTCCACGGTATCTTTCGTGTTTACTTTTATTGTTAAATTTGCTGTGTTACGTATACACGCCATTTTACATTAATACGTCGAATAATTTCGCGTTTTTTCATTGTTACGCGTATCGCGCGATACTGAATGCCCAACTCTCTTTCGAAACGCGTGTCAAACTGTATGCAAAGATTGTAGCGGAGCTTTAAGAAAGCTTCGGCGACATTCCCTTCGCAAGTCCTTCGGTTATGTACATAGAAAAAAAGTGCAAAATTCAAGTAAATAATTACTTCAATACTCCTTGGCAAATCTTTACATGGATAGTAAAAGTAATATTTACTTGATCGAAGTAAAATATTTTCCAGATAAATCGTCCAAGTAAAATATCTACCCGATCTAGGTAAAATTTATTTGGTCCAAGTGAAAATTTGCCAAGGATAATATCCATATTGGGATAATTATTTATTTGTATTTAGCACTTTTCTCTTCTGTGTAACGGATTTCAATGTAAACGGAAACAACGCGTTAATATGACATCGCTCTGCATTGTGCATGATTTTAAATCGTTTCACGGCGTAAAAGGTAATGCACGCACTGAAAATCGCCGCTGAATCATAAATTGCGATTTTATCATTCAGGTTATCATTTATTATTTACCGGTCGATTTATTATTTTTCACTACCTCCGGCACGATTTAACGCGAAATGCGTCTAATTACCGCTGAGCTTCTCATTTTGCATACATCCGAGATCGCTGTCGTCCGGAGAGGGGAAAACGCTTAATCGCACGAAGCGCGCGATTTTTATCGCCGGCGTCGGCGCGTCCACCGTCTCATATTTTCGCGACGTTAGATAGCGCGCGCTATAATTTTTATCCGCGATTTAGCACCATTTGCCGGAGGGAAATGCAAATAATAAATGTAAAATCGTACAACACGTCGGGCAAGATTATCCGTCCGCGTTGTTTGCCCTGTGAATTCGCCCTCGACTCTCCCTGCGTCGCCCCTCGTACTTTAAAAGGCCAGGCCGCAGTACATGAAACGAGATCCACGAGACGAGCGGCTCCGTGACGGCTGAATTCTCGGAATATTTCAGTCTCGAGCATCGGACGTCGAATACCAGGGATACTCGCGATGAAATAGACTCGAGCGAAATTCAGTCAGATCGCTGTGTTCTAGTAGACGCGCCGGAGAAAAAGTGAAACGACGAATAAACGCGACCGTTTAATCTAAACTCACGGATCGAGAAATAATAGACCGCGCGACTCGTTGTCGACGAGTATACCTGTCGCCCCGTCGAGCGCACCGTGCCAGAGTACCTAAAATAAAAGTATAGCCACCATTGTAGACGCTATGTTTGAGTTAAAACCGGAAGTTCACAGTCATAATATACGAGAAATGTTCAAATATTATTCCTCTTTTAAGACTTATACATCCCATTGGAGTAAAACGTAATTTACAAGATCGTCTTAAAGGACGTTCTCGATGACAATTTTTTTATCCGAATAAAATTGGCCGTCGAGAAGTACGATTTTCTGAATGTACATTGTAACGTAATTATGTATATTTGGCGTTTAAGGTATATAAAAGTGAGGAAATATTAAAATTGTTTTACTTAAGAAATATTTCTTTTCCGCTTAATAGAATATATTTACGTTTTTTTACGAATAACTTTATATAAATCCGAGCGTCGACGACTTGGCTCCACATGCGATTGCGTATATTGATTTTCAGCTATAAAAAAATTACTTCATAGATTGGGACGGAGAAGCTTCATTTAGGATTAATAATATTATATCGACGGAACCATTACGTACTTTATCGACAGGCAAAATTTGGGGAGAGCTCAAAGTGAATATTATAATTATGTACACTGGACCTTAAAGGATTAAAAATAGATGCAAACCAAAATAAAGTCGACATCAGTCTAGTTACATCATCATTTGTTTTCATCACATGTTTATTTCACATTTGGTCAAGAAAAGAGTAACAGATGATCTAACTACACTTGTATCGACTTTTGCCTCTTGCTGGGAAGCAACCTTTGACACATCCCAACCGGAAGCTGGCCGAAAATATGGCGAAGCCAATCAGAAATCAGACATACGGTGAGGCCACTCTTATTATAAGTACTCTATCCCGCGGCACACACGCGCGGAACACTTCCTCTGTTTTCCTTGCGCTTATGGTTTTTTTTTCTTCAGCCATCCCGAGCCGAATCAAGCGCGAGGCTACGGAGAGGATAGCCTTTGTGTAACGCGAGAAACTCACTCATTCGAGGAACGGCCGTCGCGTAACTGCACTTTTGAAACGCAACGCCAACAGGGATTCCATTCGCGATTTAACACTTTGTTCGCCGAGGTGAGAAAGGCGTCAATAGATCGCAACAGCGAAAGCCGCCTATACATCGCGAGACCGTCTGACTTTTACTATTTTATCCCGTACGCGACTACCCCGCCACCACCGCCTTCGCCACTTCGCCATGAAGATACAAACTTCGACGAACACGACGGCGACAATCCGGATCATGGGGAATCGAAAGAACGAACGAACGAACGAACAAGCGAGCAACGTCGGCAAATTCGATTCCCGGATTAATCCGATCGATAGTGAGACCCGAACGAAATGACTCATAGAAAATCATTCCCGTTTTGTCAAGGGAGTCACGCGGAGCCGCTGCTCGGCCGGACGGAATCCGATCCGAGTATCGTGTTTTCGCGCCCCGTATTTGCATGGCCAATATTATTTCGTTCTATGAATGAACAAGCGGCTATCTATCGCGCGTACCCCGCGGCTATCTGTCGCGTGTTCCCCGCGTCCGGGGACATTTCGTTTGCATCACACACGCCGACACCCACGCTGGATTATCGCGAGGCTCAGCCGATCGGAAAGCCATCCCCATCGCTCGGTCGCGGATCACGTGCGACGTGCTCAATCGGCGATTCTACATGATATCTCGCGGATAAAAGGGACGGACGAGATCCTTCCATCGGACCATCGATTCAGAGGGCCCATTTGCGATTCAATGAGCGTTAGGACGCGCGTTATCGTCGCGGAGTCGCCGCGCGTTAAAAACCCGGTGCGCCGTAATGTCATTCTTCGGCGAGCTTTCTACGGCTCGAACACGATGGATATCGAAAAATATCTATTATCCGGCGACAAGCTGGGGAAATAACGCGCGGAATGCTGTCAGACGCAGGCCGGATTGGAATGGACGTTTTAATGCTACGTTACGCGATTACCGGACCCGTTTTATAACCTTCGCGCGGGTCGCTAATGCGTCAATGTATTACGCATAACGCGGGGGCTGTCCTGTCGGCGAAGGAAACATAAATGGAATTGTCGCGCGAAGCTGAGGAAATAACGTTCTCCGCGACGTTCGTCGTGACGCCCGATCATCATTCTATCGGATACCGAAGTATCGGCGCAATATCGGGAGGTATTAACAAAGAACCGGTATATAAACCGCGCGCGCATTAAAACGCTCAATTTCCCATACTTCCGAACTTATAAATCGCGGAAACTTCCAGAGAAGAGAGAGTAAGTTTTAATATCTCTCGCGAAGTTAAAAAATATCAAATTTTACGAAGATAACTCGATACGAAATTTGTAAAATTCAGTTTTGCACACTAAGTATGTGGAAAAAAATGCGGCATGTAATTTAAAGGTTGGGTTTTACAAAAAAAATATATTCTAATTGAAAATATAATACAATCTTATACAGTTAAATAAAAAAAATATTACATAAAATTTTATATTAGTCTGGCAATTTGCACGCGTCTGTAATACTTTTCGTCAGAGAGAAAATTTGTCGGCATATCCCAGAAATGAAACTATCGCGATCTACGAATTATCGCGATCTTCGCGAGAATCTCGGGGCAGTCGATGATTTTAATTGGTATCGCGTAAATCTGCGATAGTGGCGAGCGATAAAAGAGATAAGGGAGTCGGCGAGTTCAAATAACGGCGGCTGCCGAGACGGCACGGCGACAATTCGCATTTTATCAAGCGGCCGAACTCTCACGAAACTTCGTTCCTCTCGATTGTTTTCATCCCGCGATAAGACTCGCGCTCCAATTCGCCGGTATTATCCTGTCGAAGAAGTGAGAGACGCGCGTCGGTCGAAAAAAAAATTTCCAATTCTCCGATATAATCCGAGAATCGACCACTTTGATCGGCCTGCTCTCGCCGTGCCTTCGTCGCTTTTATATCTCGAAGGGAGGAAACTCTCGTGAATATCGTCGCCGGCACACTGATTAGAGACGTTCAATCTGCCGCTGTAATCGCGACCTTACGAGCGCCCTTTACGGCCCTTGGCAATGGCAAGAAACCGCTCAAAGCACCCACTCCTTTCTCAACGAGCGATTCTAAGGGCCGTTCTGCGTTCTCCAGGTTCAAGAACCAGATACTTTGTGATCTGCACTTTGCCGACGTGGCGCTGATGGAGTGCTCGGACTTCATGCAGCAGTTGCGCAGCTTCAAACCACAAAGTTTAGGCTGCGCAGTTGCGAGAAGAAAGTCCTCGACTACCTTGATCTTCCCGCTGCCACCTCAAGCGTGCACCGGTAAGTACTCGTCTTTATCGAGACCTCATTCTTTCTCCTTCGCTCCCCCCCTCTCTCTCTCTCTCTCTCTTTCTCTCTCTCTCTCTCTCTCTCTACCCTCGCGACGCTCGAATCGCTACGTTTTCGCGAACTCGGCAAACGCGAGGCCGCTGACATTTGCGAGAGTACATATGTATGAGACGAAGCTACAGGTGGTTCCGCCCGTCTTGGATTACGCACGATTACATGTGCGAAGGTACCTCGTGACGTCGGATTCGAGCGACGAAAGCGAAGGCGTCTTCGACGGCAGGATCGCGATAAATGACGTCGCCATCGCGCTGAGACACGCGAGAGTGAGTAACGGAGGAAACGAGGACGGCCGTCGTCGCGTGCCCTCGGCTTCAGATCGGATCGTCGCGCGAAACTTGGGCGATCTTGAGACTCCTCGGACTAATATTGCGCCGGTTGAAATCATTTTCAGGCAGGAATTCCCATTTGCCGGTGGATCGCCAAGATTTATATCCCCCTTCCCCCCCCAGTCCCGAGAATTATATCTCCCTTTGACGCACATCCCGAGATCCATCGCTTTGCAGACCGAAGAACTTCACGATTCTCGATGTGAGGTCAGGCTGCAATTCAGCCAATCGCGCCGTGCCGAAATTTGGGTTTCCGCTGAGATATATGGACGGTCATTATAAGCGGACAAAGAGCTCGACAATTAGGTTGAATCGCAGACGCAGGCGGAGAAGAAGAGGAAGGCACCGCAGGCGGTTCACTCTAAGTTCGGATACCAAGCCCTGTCTGTAAATAGCTTGGTGTTCTACCTTACAGTGAATCGACTGCGGTATCGTCGACAGCCACACGCACCGGCGAAAAGAGCAAGCAGGCAGGAAGGAAGGAAAGAAGGAAGACGAAGATTGATAAAACGATGCGGCAGCCGAGGGGTTGGAGAAGAAGAAACATATTATCGGGGATACGTGCTTAAGTGGACGTGAGTCCGCTTCGTGGAAGGAGAATCACTTCGGGGTTCTCCACCTTCGCGTTCCGCTTCTCACGCTCGACTCGCCCTCGAGGTTCTATTTCGTCGGATCGGATTCCTCTCTTAATGATTTCAGGCAGAGTGCTTGTCTTCGCTGCTATTTGCTTCGCGTGTGATCTTCTCTCTCTCTCTCTCTCTCCTCACCTCTCCTTCCCCCTTTTCTCTCTTTCTCTCTCTTGTTCTCTTACGCGCTCTCGCTTTCCTTGCCATTCTCATTCACTTTGTTTCTCTAATTTCTAAACAAACCCTTTTCACCTCGAGGACGATCCGGCCGGTTCTTTTCGCATCCCCGGAGAACAAAGGCACTATCGGCGCCAGAGCTCATCAATTCGCTCCGCCGAGGAGAGAGCGTTAGACGAGCGGGATTAATTAACGTTAATCTCGCTTTGAGTGAAATTGCTCGATCGACATCCGCTCGCTTCACGATGAAAACGAGGATTATTGCATTTACGTATAACGCGCACCACGACAATGTAATAATTTTTACCCTGCGATATTAGCTCCTTAGCGATCGCACACTTCACCGATTTTTCCGTTTGATCCGCGATGCTTTAACCTTTCGTGAAGACGATTAAAACCGCTCGAGAAACTTTCAGCCGGAAATGACCTCCCTGTCATACGAAGATCTCGCGTTATGATAACAATTGAAAAAGGACACAAGAGAGGGTCGCATTTATTTAAGTTACCGGATGTTATGTTAGTTACACGCAAGAATTTCCTAAAAGGGTAATCTTTAAATATTCACAATATTTTAAGATGCCCAAAGCGGTCGTATTCATTCCAAAAACATATCCTGTTTGTATTCATTGTAGAATTCTAGATTTCATCCATTTTAGTTAGTACACGTTAAAAAGAAAGCAAATCTGTAAAAAAGAAAACGGGCAAATTAGGGATGGACGCAGTTGAAGGGATCAATCTTCCCGTAGAGGAATTCTGCCAAGACTATCCGCACAACCTGACATCGACGGCCGGCTATTGGATCGAATGTTCGCGGCCGCAGATCGCGTCGGATACAATTTGGGACGAGACTGAGAGCGATCGCGAGGCTACCGATCCGGAGCACGGGGAGGAGCAGTCGGAGCCGTTGTCGATGCTGAAGCATATACAGCAAGACAACAGATTCTGTCTATTCGAGGAGAACGAAGTCGACACGGACGATGTGCCACGGAAGAAAACCGCCATCGAGGAGCAATGGGAGAAAAATCAAGGCTTCGAGCTCACCTCGGTCGAGCAAGAGACCTACGAGAAGTACTTCTACGGCTCGGAGCACTGGAATTACTTCACGAACGACGAGGATCTCGGACCGGTGATACTCAGCATCAAGCAAGAGATGCTCAACAATCGGGACCAATTCAGGATCCTGGTTAGAGCCATCAGTTACACGGTCCACGGCCTTATCCCCGCCAGCTGCGTCTTTGCTGACCGGTAATTGTCAAGTTTCATTTTCTATTTGCGTATACACACACGGTACATCGCAATTTCTGCATCGGTAAAATTAGCAACAGCACACACATGCAATCGTCTACTCAATTCATATAAAAACTTATCTCTCGACAATTAAATAAGCTTAAGGGACTACATACGCACATTATTGACTTTATGAAGATGTCCTTTTGAAAAATGATTCTTCATACTTTGATTTCTATGAAGCCCATTGCAAAAAGTTGATTAGCGATGACGAGCTTCACGGAAGCAGTGATAATAGCGTTATATATCAACTTTTTTATATTGATTTTATATTCATGTAATATGTAAATAAAAGTATGAAAAATCATTCCTCAAAAGAACATCTTCATAAAGACAATAGGTGGTCAACGGAAAAATTCAAACATTGAGCGTTTATCGGGTCGCTCGGATGTATATAATCCCTTAATGAGATTAACGGTTTCCTTCTTCGAGAGCACACGAGACACATGGTAGTTTCGGCGCAGGTACAATCGTGAAGAAGTAGTACGTAGCCTCGGCAAGGAGGTGAACATCAATCCGCCGCTGACCTTGGGCCAGTTGCCAGACACGCCCGAAGAACTTCTGAAGCTCGATCAAGTTTTTATCAAGTCCGAGCTGAAAGTGGGGGTGATGTATATACAGGAAAATCAGATTACCGAGGAGCAGATACTCGACAACAACGGCAACTCGCCGCTCTTCGAGGAGTTTCTGCAGATTCTCGGCGACAAGATCAGATTGAAGGGTTTCGATAAGTACAAAGGCGGTCTCGACACCGTGCACGATTTGACGGGCCTATATTCTGTCTACACCAACTGGAGGGGCATCGAGATAATGTTTCACGTGTCCACTCTATTGCCTTACGAGAAGCACGACCCTCAAAAGGTAAGCCACCCCTCTCCCCTGCATTTGCAATCTTCGTTGCTTTCATTTTATTTTGATGAGACCTTTTTTAACTTAACCTGCCGGGAAATTGCATCGAAAGTTTTTCGTTTCGCACAGCTCCAGAGAAAGAGACACATCGGCAACGATATAGTATGCGTCGTGTTTCTGGAAGCCGACAACACAAAGTTCAGTCCAGCTTGCATCAAGTCGCATTTTTTGCACACGTTTATTGTGGTGCGAGTAAGTCCACGGATAAAGCGGAAAATCACGAGATATGAGGTATCCGTGGTCACGAGGGACGAAGTTGGGGCCTATAAACCGTATCTGTGGGAGCAAAGCGTTTTTGAAAAAGGTGCTATTACGATTTTTATATCGAAATAGTAGTGCAACTAGAAAGAGCTAAGGAGTTTAATTGACACCGCGAGATAGAAAGTTTGAAAAACAATTTTCCTTCAAATCCGCACACCGCAGCCGAATGTTCGTCGTACGCTACTTTATTTAACATGCAATCATCGCGACGTGATGAATATTAAATGTAATTATGTTTAATTATTCATAATGTTATAATTTCCATCGTATAAATCTACATTGTTCCTGTGACTAGTTTCGACAGATTCAATATGATTTTGCTAATTTCCATTTTAGCGTCATGGTACAATTACCGAACTTCTAATTGTCAATTACGGAAAGTCGTAGCGCACGGTACGAATGATATTAAAGTTGCGTTGGCTGGGCCACTTCAGAATTGCGTCAGCTTAAAATCCCCCTTACATTGTCTAACTTATCGAATTGGAATATCCGGACGCAACAGGTCCGATGTTCCGCGAATGGATTTTAACGAAAATCGTAAACGGCGAGAGGGCGAGTTATTCAGCGCCGAAATTCGCGAGGATGCAGGAGAGGACGAGGAGTCAAATGTTGGAGGACATCGTGGCGAATCTCGCGAATCATGCGGAAACTGGGCAAATCCCGAAGCCGTATAGGTGAGAAACGTAACGATAACGGTCTTAACATGAAAAAATATGCTAATGAATGAACATGCAAAGAAGAATAATGACGTAAAATACGATTAACGTACCTTTTATATCGTTTTAACATACGTTTCATATATCTGAAAAATTCTTATCATCATATTCTCTACCTAATTTACGATGCACTGCGTGTCGAAATATGTCTTGAAATAAAATAATGAACTATTTTACTATTTTCCTTATAAATTTATTGTATCTTTGATTATAAAACGTTTAATCAATTATTATTCACTCGATATCGATCGATGGGGTTAGATTTGTGATTATTTATTTCTAGACGAGGTTCTTGGCGACCGATTGGACACATGCGACCGTCCTCGCCTTTGTTGGATTCGGTACGAGATCAGTTCGAGGACTATGATCAACTCGCGAAGGACTTCACCCGAGTGTTCCTTAATAACACAGCGAATATGACGCTAAACGCTAGTCTGTTCGATGTCTCCTTCCTCGTGCCGGGGCAGCAAAAACAAAAAGTCAGATTCATCGGTGTTAGGGCGATTTTAGCAGTGAGAAGCAGGTAACAACCTTCAACGAATGCTCCGAAAATTATGGACATGGTTTATTTCGTGTGGCAAGATCAAAAAGTAAAACGCGAATTACCAAGTTGAAATTTAAGCGCTACATAATTTTCACGCGGGACTGCGAATTAACGTCCTATAAACCCAAACGATTGTGTTCGCTTAATTGGACTGGTGGGGGAAGATGTTTTTCCAATAATTCGTTGGTCACTGTGAACTACACACGAAATAAATATTTTCTAATTAAATTCACTGTGTTTCGCAGATTCGCGAGCTTGATACAATCAATGGAAAATTGAAACAAATAATTATGCGATATTAAATTCAGCTGATTAAAAAGGAGAACAAAAGCATAAATTTAATATATGTAATTATGAAATACGTAGTGACAAAACTAAGAGATAAATGAAATTAAAAGAAAAGAAAATATTAGAAATACGCCTCTGTTAGATAGAAATCACTTATTCGCGAAAAATCCGCTCATGTTCATAGGCAACATAAAAAGATTATCTACAGTGTTGCATAAATATTTGTCTTTGTACAGAGTGTTCCAAGAAATGCTGTATGGTATCCAAGCGGGCTTCGGGAGCCCGCAAGTACCAGTTGCCGAGTTACTCGCGAGACCGGCGCCGACATTGCTCAGCCCGCAGAAACCGAAGAGCTCGAATTTTCTTCAAGTTCCCGATATGGAAAGTCCTAGGTACGTTCGCGCTCGAATAGTTGTTGTTATCCCGTTGTTGATATTTATCTGTTAGTCTCACGAGCCCAGTCCGAAATCGTTGATATCGAAGTCCGCTCAGTAAAGAGATGGAATCCGTCGTCCTTATGAAAAAAAAAAGAAAAAAATACTGGTAAGCCTCGCAACCGAATTGTCGTCGTTCGTGAAGCACTATCGATATAATATTAACACGACTCCGCAAAGCATGCTCGTACAACTAATTGGCGACTTGAAAGCATTCACTTAGGACGTCGAGTGCGAACTCGACAAGAGTATCGATTGAAAATTGCACAGAAGTGTGGATTTATGCGATTTCTTATGCAAAATTGGATTTCTCTAACGAGAATAAACTGGAAACTCGTTCGAGGGGTGAGACTAATGCCTGCGATTTTCAGTGTGTCGAATGTTTCTTCCATATTTATATATAAATATATATCTATAGATATATAGATATATTGAACCGTAATATATGTATCTTTTCACGGCACATCCATGTCTCCTATCCTCACGGCACCGCATGATTATCTCGTACAATTATCTTCTCTTATTTGTCAATATATATTCTTTATTTATATACCGTATATATACATGTATATGATGCAAAGGGCCAAAATCTTTTAAATCACGTGTCGTGTATAAATTCTATGTGGCATGCTCTCTTCTGAAAGATCACACGCAATATTCCGCCATACGGTATAGTATAACTCGTCTTGCTTCGTTCGCTAGAAAGAAACGAGAAGTTATTTTACGAACAACGGATTTTCAATGTATTACATAGTTGAATGTATTCTCTGCGCCGTTTTGCTCGTTGACACTTTTTCGAGACGTGTCACGTGTTGTGATCTGTATCCTCTGATTTTTGTGCATTTTTTTTCTCTTTTTCTGTCCGTTAGTAATGTTGAGATCACCAAGTATGCTTCCTTCCGTTTACTTTCACTGTAACGTAATCGCCGATAATTTCGTACTACCGCAATTCGTGCCGCTGCAATTTCCGCTGAAAATACTCCAAATTTCATGTAACGATCCGCTGACTATATGAATAATTTGGCAAAGCGTTTCTTCTGTCGTTGCTGTGGATTCGATGATTATGCGTAATTAATTATTTCGAGGCTCACCGCACGTTAATTCGTACCAATATTAAACTTTGGGAGCGAGCTTTCGTTGTTGTCTCGTTTTCGTTTCGTAACTTTATATTCAATATGTCCTCTTTTTCACCGATTACACAATTAATTTCCCTCCCTCTCACCCTCGCCCACACCCTAGTCCTTATTTCTATGTGAAATCCTTGTAAATTCCATCTCCAAACCTTCAAGTGCCGCTCCGCGGTTTCTGTGAGATACTGGTTCTGACGTGTTTAGGCCCAAAAGCGTCCCCTCGTCGCCGATGGTGAAACGGGCCTTCTCACGATTGGGTACGATCACCGCCGGATGGGGAAGGAGCATTAGGAAGCACGGCAGTGGAAATGCCCTGCAGAGCGAGGATCGAAAACGATGGGCCAGCTCGCAAGACTGCAGTAGTACGTATATATCGTTTCTTGTGAGAAAAGAAGAAGCGAGGTAAAGAAATATAAAAGGATGAAAGCTTCTATCTCGTATATCACGAGTTCTTCGGCGACTTGGTATCCAAATATAACGCACACTCTTGATATTTAACGATATGCATGCGAAAGCATGCAAAGATGCGTTCTTATGATAAGTTCTATCGCGATGGAGTGAAAGGATAAAGTTTAAACATTATTTCTTACAGATAAGGAAGCGAAAGATAAAGATAAAGCGGCCCAATCATTGGCAGTGCCGAGGCTCAGCGTTTGCGCGGACGCGCAGAAAGTGGACAGAGCGAAACTAGCACAGACCGAGGTGAGCGTGACGTCAAACGCGTATCTTCATACCGAGGAGTGGATGAAAAGTGTTTTCTAAGAGTACGCGAGTTATCGCGTGAAATTGCAATTTCCTGAAAAATATGTAATCGATCGTATCAACTGTATACCGAGACATCTCAATATTTCCCAGTAAGAACTTCAATGTTTCTTCCATCTCTTCGTTATTCCCCGCTTTCGAGTGAGCCTTAACATCTGCTGTGTCCACTCTGTCTTTCATTAGCAATCGCGCCAATTAATATTGAATCCGTGACGAATCGTTGTATTATTATTGTAATCATTCCCTATTATAGAAACAATTGAAACGTCACATTAGCATTCTCGTTGTTCTCATTAAAGAAAAAAAAAAAACAATATTTTCAGTTCGACATTATCGAGTTCGATCCGGAAACGTTCCGAATTCTGCTGGACTATCTGCACACCGGATCCTGCCCGCTGACGTGCAGCAACGTACCAGGTCTAATATGCGCCGCGGAGCACTACGACCTGCCCGAGCTTCTCCAGGCTTGCATGCATCACGTCAAGCAGTTCCTCAGAATAGATGTCGTCTGCGTGATGCTCTGCGTCCTCGAGAATTACTACTGGCGTTACACGTCCGCCTTGCAACTGCTCAATACAGTCCTTACGTTCATCGACCACATGCCGTATCAGCTCTTCCAGAGGCCGGACTTTCTCACGCTGAGTGAGTCGATGGTGCAGACGATCATGTCCCGTCAAACTCTCGAAGTAACGGAGATCAAGAAGTTCGAGGCGATGCTGAACTGGGCGAATCACCGAATCAAAACCAAGACGAAGACCGACGCCATGGTAGAGTTCAAATGTATCATGGACAGGCTCAGTAGGGATCTTAAATTATTCGACATAACACCTCAAGAACTGATCAGGGTAAGTATCGAAAGCGCGAAGGTGCGCGAAGGAACGCGATCGAAATGCTAGGTGACACTACGATGTAAAGTAACATCCGTAATTTATTTCCCCAATTAAATCGCGAAATATAGGAAACACAATCGCGACAACGTAATCGACATATCGTAGAAAAATTTGGCGAGTAGGATTTGCTGCGCGTTAATTCTAACCGTTTTTCGTTCTTTCCAGATCGTGCTGCCGTCGAAGGCCATAAAGAACGAGCGTATTCTCGAGACCCTGATGGAGCAAGCGAACAAAGGCACCTACAGAAACGTCGACACCTACTTGGAGGCGTATCAGAAGAAAGTGCAGCACGAAGACAGCTACGACTACGGGCTATAAGAATATCGATGGAAACGCGCGAGAGACGTCGCGTAGGACGATGTGTACCTGAAGACACTTTTCGACGATCGACCGACGAATTCTCCGACTACGGGAATGTCTTATTTCGTCTCATCGCCGTTCTGCAACTATGTTGCGCCACCGGACTCGTTGCGCGCGGATAATCGCGACCTTTTTTTTTTGCTGCAGTGATCTGTAATTAGAACGTCAAGCGACCGTGATATTCGATACGTAGAAGAGGATAATTACACTGCGGAGCCTGACAAGAGTTATGATAGATTGCTCCGAGATCGTATAAGGTCGCTGCTGCTAGGGCCACTCGACGAATAATGAGTTTAGATACAGTCCCGGCTCCACTCGCACAAACTTTGCTCGATATTCGCACGGTAATTCAATCGCGTCTGGTGGCTCAAGCTGCTGCCCTTGTTTTGTTCGTGCCATCGCGGTAAATCATCCGCCGGGGGAAAATTGACGTAATCCCGATATCCCGCGATCGCGTCGTATTCGCAAACTGATCCGATTAACTTGACGAAGAGGGATTTTTAAGAGGATGTGAAAAAAAAGTAAACGTGAACTTTTTTTCTCCCTTCGCCAAGAAGTTAATCGTTTGCGAACACGACGGTCGCGGGACGTCGGCACTACGATGAAAGGAACTTCGAAAGTTTCCGCTTATTCGACAAATATCACGGTAAAACCGTGAAATATCGTCCCCCGCGCTAGTGGAAAGAAAAGTTTCACATGTGTCGTGTAAATGGTTTTCGGCATAATTACGAGAACTTTTAAAGTGTACACGAAGAATAGACTTTCCTTCCGGTTCTTAAGATGTAAAGTTCGCCTTATAACAATGCTTCCATAATTTCGTGGTCTCTCATCGCGTTAGTCTAATTTTCATCATATCATTATCATATCGTGTATCAAGATACACTCAGAAAAATGACTTAGCAATAGCAGCTAAATCTCATTAGCCAGCTCGAACTTTGCCGTCATTGCTAAAAGTTGGCTGTTAGAAGTAAAACGCATTTGCTGCGAGGTACAATGTTATTAATTGAAATTATTAGCCAACGAGTAGCCAAAATTGATTAGCTGTACTAATTACACCATACATAGACAATACGAAAGACGTTTATATCAATCGACGAAATAGTCTAGTACCTGAAGTAATTGACCCAAAGGTCTTCGATGTCATCAGTGCTTAAACGTGATTTTCAAATATGGTATAGCATTAAATCGCGTAAAACTTTCAGGCAAAATCATCATATGCTTAATCTTATTCTTAAGGACAACTTGTTTAAAAAAAGAACCCTATTGAAAATTTCCTGATGGATTTCTATGGAAATCCATAGAAATTTATGTCCATATAGGATAATAAAAATCTATGTAAGAATCCACATGATTTGTGAAAATTCATATAGGAAATCCACACGGATTCTTATCTAGGATCTGAGTTTTTTGCGCAAATCCTCAGAGGTAACTATGCAATTCTATATGGATTTCCTATATGAATTCCTACCTGGTCTTTTCAACAGGGAAAAAGTATTAAATTTCTTCGGAATGTGGAGTTCCAAATGTGAATATGATTTTAGTATTATCGTGCATTCTAGCTAATATTTTTCATTGTAGCGCCTAAATTCAAACGGCTAGTAAATTTAGCTGCGGCAGCAACTATATTAGCTACCCCTATTTCAAACACACATTTTAGCCGCCACAGCTAAATTTTAGCTGCTACGGCTAATTCTTTCTCTGAGTGTAACATTAGCATTAAAAATTATATTTATACGCCTTCTTACTGCTTCTTTTTTCTAGGATCTTTGAAAACATATGCGCATTTAACATCATTTTTCATTCGAATTTCGTACGAGTTTTTATGACTCGTCTTTTTATAGAGTACGTTATATTTTCAATAGCAGAAAATGTTCTTCCAAGGTCTCAAAAGGCAGCGAGTACTTAGTATTGATGAATTGAGAGAGGGGATGAGAAGTGGGGAACGCAATTACGACGTGATCGGCGTTTCGTATTAAAGTTTTGCGAGTAGGCGTCATCAATCTTCGATGCAGGATTTGCTACGTGTTAATTCTAATACGCGATCGATAAATGGAGTGTACTATCGATCGACGGGCTGAGGTCTCGCGAACGCGAGAAGCATCACAGTTTTCTTACCATTAATAAGGAGATTTCGCGCGCGCGGAAATTCGGTTTAGATAGGGATCGAGGTAATTAATTAAGAAGAACTGTGTCGCAGCTGAATCACTATGCCGCGGCACTGCGAGTGGACAACGACAAGGACAAGTGTGGCCAGTGATATTTTTCCGTGCGGCATTGTCACCTGTTACGCGTACATGAGACAAGAACGACAGCAACGGAGAATGAACTGACGATACAACGTCGTTGTCGCGAGCATGAGGCGCGATGTTAACGCGATCGAATGAAAGGAAACCTCTGTAATCATCGACTGGAGATTCTCGAGGGCGCGTGCATATTGTAGCCAGAGATATCGACGGCATTTAATAAATTGCCGACATGTGACAATCTGTATTATAAAAAGAAAAACACTGAACTAATAACACATATAAAAAATAATATTCATTAAAAGAAGTTTACTACTATAGATAAGCTTAAAAGAGTATAAATAAAAATATACATACACATAATATATATATATATATATATGTATGTATGTATGTATATGTGTGTATGTATATATACACGTATCGGTAAGCATAAAACTCTAAAAATAATAAATAATAACAATAATAAAAAAAATAATAACGATAATAGTAATAACGAAGAAATAATAATGACGATAAAGTACGCAAGCGCGTCGATGTTGAGTGTGAGATGAAAAAATATCACATATATTTGAGGTCTTGTTCTGTTTTCTATCGTAGATTTTGTATCTTCGAATACTCTAAGGCGGAGATTCTAAAATTCACACGGGGGCAGACTGGAGAAAGAATTTTTCGCGCGACAGCGCGCGGGTCCCTTTTTTTCCCATTTGACGAGACAGATGTCCCCCTTTCAAAAGAGGGGACACTCTTTTCTCAAATTGTACCCGCAAAATTTTTGATCGCACAATCGTGAACTGCACCGATCTTCCCGTTTAACGAAAAGACGAGACATATCGACGATCCTTCTCCGCCGGGAGAATGGATTTCCGAGCGAAAACGGTGGGTTTGCATTCGAGTCTGGTCAACGTAATTTCGACGAATTTTTGCGAAACTTGGGAAAAGATCTCAACCAGCCTGGCTCCGGTTACGCTTCTATGACGACTATATCAAAAGAGAGAGAAATATAAAGAGACGGCAGAGAGAAAACAAGGGGGGAGGCGAAATCGCGCGATTTAATAGACGGATCGAAAATCCCGCAAAAAATCGCTCTCTTTGGAGATCCTTTGTAGAAATCGATTTTCCCTGGGACTCCCAGGGAAGGAAATATTTTTACACGATCTCGATTGGGGTCGTCCGCAATACGACATGATATTTTCGAGCGCCGATCCCCCGTATATTGTGTTATTATATACGTAACAAGTAATATATATTACGGTGTAACGTGCGTAAAGATAAAAAGGCCATTAACTCTCAACCACTACGGTGAATTCAAATCTGTTCCCAGTTCTAGACATTTTGCGTGCGAGAAATAGTGTATAGTTCGTGTATCCAATTGACTGGACTTTTTTGGCCGTAAGCCAAAATGTAATGATTTTAGGATCAACAGTTTGTACGTTTTCGCAGACCGTCGATTTTAAGATGAGATTGCTCGCTATCTTCCATATTATTACATAATTACATTGCAGAAATTACTGAAAATTTATCAGTAGTATTAAAATAATTCGATAGTATATTCAAATATTATGTATTACTATAACGAAAAAATGATTTTAATATCCATTTGTCAGGAAATTATACAAATTTTAAGTTAACAGTTAATTCAGCACAAATATAACAAATTGATGACATGCTGATGACAGTCAGAAGTAAAGCCGTTCTCTAACCAATTATCGGGGTCAGAATTGACGGCACCGTAGTGTAATCTTAACCAAAATTTAACCACAGTGGTTGAGGGTTAATATCGGTCTTCCTTTCGTCGCAAAGATTGCCAAACTGTTAAGTGTCTTATTGTTCAGGCAAGCGGCTGGACGAAAGTAGAGTTTCGAAACGTCTTCATTCGAAGGAAAGCCGATTATTATTGCATGCCAAATCGTTACGAAAAATCTTTCGTTTCGGATATCGTGTGGTTCTCATCGTTAATATCTTATATCGATCATTTACGCGAGAATCTTTGTAATGCTTCTGCGGAACGATCGAACTATGAAATACGAATATATAAAATACGTTACCATAATCATATAAAAAATATAAATTTAATGAAATGAAATAGGATATGCTAATCAATTACGGAAGAAATCGTTTTAAATTCATAATTTATTAAATATACATATAAAATTAAAAATTTTGCTACTATTTCGTTACAATTCATTCTATAAAACTATAGAGAACAGACGATCTTCATTTTTGTAATATAAGTTCAAGACTGTTTTATTCATTATAGATTTTTAATGCAATATCTGTATTTGAAAAATATAGATTTCGGACGTATTTAGAAGTAAGCTCTTTAACCGTAGCAGTTATTTTTATAACTGGTCCAGCTAATAATTTTCTCGGAGATTAAATGATTAATTATTAGTGGTATTAACCTTCGTGGAAGTAAGTTTAATATGAAGATACCGAAATTTCTTGGCACCTGTTTGTCACTGTACATGTGTGAAAATGATGGGTTTTCTATTGTAAAGTTATATATTATTTCGCGATCCGAACGAAGAACACACGATAGCGGCAAACGAAACTGGAGATCGAGAGAAACTCGAAATTCTACTTCGTCAGTATGTAAGCGTAGATGTTTCAGTGTGTGATCGAAGTGTATTTGATTGGTCACTGTATCGATTTTCACAACGTCTCACAGTCTGCGTAGAGACTCTGGGAAGCTCATTCATCGCGCGTTATACAGTATGTAAACTAATTCGCACCTGTGAAACATTGTTAATATCTCCTGATGAGATGTTAATTATTTTCCATTCACATATAGGAACGTTATAAAAAAAAACGTTTTCAATGCGAACATTATAATTTTATTGCAATAAAAAAATTACGTTATTATATGCTCGAAACTGCACGCAAACAATTTTAACCAATTCAAACGATTAGCTAGATTTCACTTAACGATTGCTACTTTATTAAGAGCATCGCGAAAAAAAATAGTTATTCAAATTTTCATAATAAATAACGCAATGCGAATAGTAGTCGCGAATTAATTTACATCCTGTATTTATCGGGGCGAAATCGGCGCAGGTTCATTTAAATTTCGCAAGACGATGAGATCCGTCACGCACATGTTCTTATGACGCAATTGCGATTTCGTAATCGTAAGTATAATATCATGTGTAAGTTCGAGATATACGTTCAGATATCTCACGCGAATTCTCACTTATAAAATTGAAGATACACATATAGGCATTGCACGCTACGCTCAAGCACAAGATGTAATGTCTCTGATACATTATGGCTGCAATTTAATTTTAACCTTAATCTTAAAAGCGTAGTTTAATCCATGTATACTCGATTAATCGCGCAAAATTATATTTTCCAGGTGAATCATTCGCGAATATTCGACTAGCACACGCGCACATTCGTGCTACGATCGTTCACTCACGTTTACTTGGAACTTGATATATATTCATGAAAAAAAAACTGCGAAAAGTAATTTCGTTGTATTCAGATTTGGATTTGCTAGTCAGCAAAAAATGTCTCGTGTAAAATTCATATCTGTAACATCACCAAATTGAATACGTGTCGAAATTACACAACAATGTCGATTCTCGAAGGCGTACAAGACGTGATTTGAAATATGAAAATGTTCGATCCTGCGTTCGAGTTCGCCCGGAAATACCACAAATCAGTACAAACTTGCGCTTGTCGTGTGTAACTCTTCCTCCTCTCGCGCCGCGGCACGGGTATACTAATGTACAAAGCGACTTTTTTTACTGTACTCGACGACAGTTCAGGCATTGCTCGGTCAAGGGAGAACACAAAAAGGAGGAATGCGTCGTATGCGAGCACACAACACCCCCGCTCTCGAGAACACCGAAAAATAAAAATTGAAAAAAATGTCATCGAACGCCATTCTGTCCAGCCATTGCCGCCTACTGTTCAACTGCACATTCATTCAAGCAGATGTAAAGAACTATTTCGCAAAGAGACGAATGAAAAATAAAAAAAAGAATATCTATATACGCATACATATACATATATATATATATAAAATATAGATATATATATATATACATATATACATATAAATATTAAAAATGTACCTATGTACGCATGGCTACACGTGCACACGTAATGCAGAAGGAGAAAGTGAGAAGGAGAGCAAGAGTATTATAATGCGACGAGTAAAATGTAAAAAAAAAAAGAAAAGAGGAAAAAAGAACTGTGTATGTACATTATGCGCGCCACGTGAGCGGACTCCGGCGAGTAAGTAGAGTAAGTAAAGAGTAACTCTAGACGCACATTGAAAAAGACGGATAGTGGATTTCTGATACGGCAAAGTGGGGAGAAATTGCATTACCGGGAACGACTTCTTGTCACGGTGACCTTATGGTCGTCCAATGTCTTAGAAAAATAATCAAGTGCTAAATGGCATATCGCGCTAAGTGGGTCGAAGCTGATTAATCGGTTCTTCATAGTTCCGGTTGCTTGCGTCACCGTGTTAATTAATATTAAACCTTTCAGCTGTAACGTTCCATTCCAGATGGTACGGTATCTACACGAGTACAATATCTACATTCTGTAATTATGATCGTTTTTTCTTTTTTTTTGTAACCGACAGTTCCTTAGTGAATTGAACCGCACAAATCAAAACTCTGTCGAAATTATTACGGGCGCGCGATCCGGCATTTACGACGATGGGCGCGCACCTGCTACATGACTCAATGTGCGGCTGGCTTTTAAGGATAATCTCGATCGCGTTTGTTGCGTTTCGTGCGATATATACGAAGGTTGTGCGTAATATTAAGCGCTTCTCGAATTCTCCGGTATGCGTCTGGTTATTCGTGAGATAGTCTATAAATGTGTTGTTGCGATGTCGCGTATGTGTCATCCTTCTTATCTTGTTAAATACTCGCTGTCCTCCTCGACACCGCTGCCATTGGATTTTCATCTTGTTGTTGTTATTGTTGTTATTGTTAAGAGGAAAGTGTATTGTCCGATCACACAACAATTGCACACGTGTCACGTGAGAAGGATGTAGCAGCGAGAAGTCACGACTGCGGCTATACTTTCCGGCTTTCACGTGGCTTTACTCCGAATCGCGATACTTGCGAATCACAAGTTTCTAATCAAACTCCGTACATTTACACGATATTGTAAATGTCCTATAGCATATGCTCAAGTTTTTGTAGAGTAATGATAAATTATTTTGCATAAATCGACCTTGGAAGATGTTTTTAAACAGAGAACTATTTTTTCGTGAGCAACAATGATCATATTGTTTTTATGGTGTGACTAGTACGAATAAAACCGCAATCGTGACTTTCGAATCCTGCAGTCGTGCATTTTTAACCGATAAGAAAATGTTGAGTGGTCGTTATCAGTTCGTGATCAACCCGATGTTACTTCGTTGCATCGAATATCCATCCCACCGTTGATGATTTATCGCTCGCAAATTTTAGCTCGCTTCGCGACGACGTGTATTTTTATCCGACCGATGATTTATTATCTTGCATTGTATATCACTCGTATTGTTGTATACGTGAATTATTATGGTGGACGTATAGTGGACGGAAATTATCGGACATCACAAAATCACAAGTAGACTCAAGGGGCATTTCTAGTTCTGTGCGATCATATCGGTATGAGGCCATTGTATGTGACGTGATAATTATAAAATGTGCATGCACACGAGTTTCTTCCTTCCTTCTTCGTCGTCGTGTTCACGTAATGAATCTATCGGAACTCGCCGTGTCGCGCTTGCGTGGTAACGAATACAAAAAGATGGATGAAATTATTAAACAGAGATTTATTGTATATGAAACTACTGTGATGTTATCGTTCAATATAAAAAAAAATATATCTATATATATATATATATATGTATATGTATGTATATGCATGTATATACATGGATATACACATACATAGGCATACATACATATATACACACACACACATAAAAAAGATGCTGTATTTAAAAAAAAAACTCGTGTCTAAAGAATTTTCTTTTATCTCCTCGCTCACCGAAACAAAGTCTGTTGCGAATCTGTGAAAGTGAAATTGTAATTTATATTCGTACGAGCAACTATTTTTTAAAAGACGACTGATTATCTATTATGTAATATAGGCAATAAAAATGTATTGTGCTAGATCTTCTCTATATGTGTGTTCGTGTAAACCTTGTCAAGTTAGTATATAATTCAATATAGGATAGAAATTTCTCCCCTTCGTATTTTTCGACGTACATTGTTGCATCTTATGGAAGGTGTATAAAAATATATATTGCGTATATCATGTATGATTATTGACATAGAGAAGCCGATAACGCACGAACCATATACATTTACAGCATTTAGATATCTTTAGAGGTTTTAAAAAGATTTAAGCGTGATCGAATGTAACTTTAGGTCAATATTAACCATTTGATCGGAGAGGGAGAAAAAGGGTTTTTTCTTCTGTAAACTACAAAATTCATCACCATAAAAACTTATTGGTCGTAAAAGACGCACAATAAAGAGTTAATATAGATTTTATATTGATCATTCAACACAATGTTAAGTTTTATGAGAATAGTTTCTCCTATTAAAAAATGTCAGGTGTGATAAAAATACGTGCTGCATCAAACTATTTCATCATTCAGCGTGCAACATTTTAGTCAGAATTAAAAAAAAATGATAAATTGAGTTGAAATTTATTACACATTAGTAACTATAATTTCTACTATAAAACGAAATCGTAGTCAGTATTGATCATCTATATCGGAGATGTTCTTGGCTTATTGCTCTTGGTTAAGCGTATGACACCACGTGATCGAATGAAAAGCATGAAAATTCATAACGTTGGCTTGCAATAAAATCGCAGATGAAAAATAAATCCCGGATGGCATTCAGAGAAATTCTGATATATTACAAATTCAGTAAAATGATTATTCATATTTCATTTTAATGGTTTGAAATTACACTTTCGGATAACGTTAGTCTTTGCATTTAGCATTAAAGCCTGTCTTTGCCCAAAAACAGGAAGTATTAATTTACAATAGCTAGAAGTTGTCTTTGAGATAGAATTTCCGACGGCCTCTATATCTCATGTTAGATGTTCATAAATACGTCAATGTGCAAACGTACTCGCCTAGCAATTCATAATATTCCTAACTACTGAAAGAGATATAATTTGTCAATTATATCTCAGGGAAAATGTACAATAAATAACAATGTGAAAAGATATGTACATATTTACATATACACGATAGATGCACTTCAACTTGTCTCTGTGTACTAAAAATTGGATTACAAACAGCGGTCTCTGTGTATTCAGCCTATACAAATATTTTTCCTATAAAATTTGAATGCGCCTGAAGAGCCGCGGAGGAGTTTGTGTAAATATGTTATAAAATCATATTTATTTACAATTTACAAGACCGATAGGGGTAACTGTACAAACACGATCGTCGTAACGGCGAATGGTGGTTCTTGCGTGTCATTAAAAAAAATTATAACCACCATATTAAAACACTGTATCTGACTTCTAGGTACATGCTGTTTTATAGCAAATATCTTCTCAGGTAAAATCCGCGTGAGCACACGCGGTATGATCTTAGCGCTCTACAACCGAGATCTGCGTGCGTCAATGAAGTTTCTACAGCATTGCTGAAAGCGCACGCAACGCCAAATGCAGTCTTATTAAAACGCTAGACCGTTCGAGGTCACGAGTTAACACATAAATATGTACAATTTTTGTACACCTTCGTTAATCGTAATTATTTCCGTTGGGATTCCTGAAAGTAATTCCAAGACAAGTTAACATTGCCTTATTGTCAGTTCGGAGCTTCACTTCACCATTTAGCCCTAACACTCCAGTCTTTCGGTGTCCAATGCAAACACTTAGGATCTATCCTGATCTGTCTTTTTTCCATCGCGGCTGTGTGTTGATCGATTATTTCCCTGCGAATAAAGACGTGGATAAATTAGGAAGATTTCACCGATCACGCCTAAAGATTAGCTAATCTCCTTTCATTGCTACATTGACAAATCAATTACCTATTCAACGTCACGATATATTGTCCCTTGTAGTAATTAATGAGATTCAAGTTTTGCAAGGTCGATATCACGTCCTCTTTCTTGATCGACGTCAATTCGCAGATTTCGCTTATCGTTATCTGCGGCTTCTCATTTTCCACCATTGGCTTAATGTTCAGCAGGATATCGAGTATCGTGTGCGCCCAATAGCTTCGATACGAAAGCAGACCCAGATCGGACAACGGTTTCTCAGGCGAGCCGGTCTTCCCCTCGAATTTCGACAGCTCATATGAAAATTCTATCAGAAGCTTGCCGTAACCTCTCCTCTGGTACGGTGGCAGTGTAAGAATGCATGCTACGTTGTGATCCTCCGTTGACTCCTTCTCCTTGGAGAAGTAGCCGACTATGTGAAATCCTCTGCTGTCAAAGTCCGTCATTACATAGAACAAAAAGGGGTCCGTGTCATAGTCGAGGGTCTTGTGATCTAGAAATAGCTTCGCTAGTAGGCAGAGATTTTGTGCGTAATTCTTGTTCTTGCGTCCGTCGATTTCGAAAAACGATATAGATCCTTTCCTATATATCTCGTTTCCGGGTGGATGACGTAGATTACATTTGAGTAAATGCCTCTCCAAGCACTTTCGACTCTTTCTGTATTTCAGACAGAACTCGCAGATATATATACAAGATAAATTCACCAACTCCTGCGGATACGGGCTGAAGTACCAAGGCTTTATTCTATGGCGACCCAGTTCGATTAGTTCCACGTTCTTCATTCGCATTTTCTGATGCGCTACTAGAGAACCGGTGGGCCTGGGACCCGGTGTTTGCGGTGGACCATCCTGAGAATCCTCGTTTTCTATGAATGCAGCTTTTCTTTTTCTACACATTTTCTTTTGTAGAGCAGCTTGGAGCACGGCGGAACCATTGACCGGTTCGTTGCTGACGCTGCTGGGACTGGGTGGCCTGCTGGCTGCTTGTTTTTTTGGCGTCGCCGCACCAGTTCCTGGTGTCGTTCCATCGCGACGTGGGTATTGGACCTTTCTCGTATCCAAGGAATCTTCCATAACCCATTCGTCTAATCGTCTATTGACTAAAAGAGCATATGTTGTGTAAGTGTAAGTAACAGCGTCGACACTTAGGATCCTCGCACGCAGCTCAAAACAATTAGGGGATCGCTTCATTTCAGAATTGTTTATTTGACTTTGTCTTTTAATTGTTTTGTGCATTGTGTGGAAATGCCAAGCAATTTACTTACAATCCACATAGTGAACGTAATAACACTTGACACCATGTACTTCCTTGACACTGATAATCTCAGCGAGTGCTACAGATAGAAAAAGAAAGATGTTGATAAATATTCATTGTAAATCTTAGTTTTGTTGAATAACTATTGTATATTTTCAAAGGGATATGTTCGCTCAACACATAAGTGTTCATTTGTCACACACAAAATGCAACATACATAATATGTAATAATGAAAACTTGTAATACAGGTTTTACAGAAGTATAAGAAGATTATTGCGATGCAGTAAGAATCAATGCAAAAAACTACAATCAATGAGTCTTCAAAATGATTAAAATATTATTCATAAAGATAATGCAAACTTTATGTTTACGTTTTGATTCATACTGAAGCAATTGACAAGCGAACGTTGATAATGGATCATAGTATTTTGTGATGCGTTACAATCAGATCTCGTAGAACACAAAAATCAAAGCTGTTAGTGGCAAATTTCATTTGGAGCGAGAACGAAAGAATATTCATATAATTTACTTACGCCAATCGTCCGTGCCGTGCATTTTGACCGGTAAACGGCAGCCTTCAATCAGTGAATTCTAAAAGTGAGGTTAGAAAATGACGATATCCGTGATACCCAGACTTGGCGAACGTCTCCGAACAAACCACCAATACAGTCATATTCAGAATATTGCATTACTTACCACTGAATCGCATATTGTTTCACGTTCGTCGTGCTCCTCGATCATTTCACTCAAAAATTCGGGGAACTTGTTACCAAACACAATTTTGTTTTGAAGCGCTTTAAGCACTGACAACAGCGCCGTGTAAAGTGAATTACAAGGTCTCCGCGATCGGAGAGAGAAGAAAGGGACAACGTTATCTCGAAAGGCCACCTAAATGCCATCTACATTCACCACCGAGGAGAAACGTGTTTGTAGACGAACGGCCTCAAGCGGATTCGATTTGATGCAGCACGCTGATGCGAAAGAGAAGTACAGACTTACCGAAGCGGTAACATGCGATACAGAGAACGCATCTTCTCCCGAAGCATTCGCACCGTCAGATAGCAACGGACGTTTTCCTCGCTCCATTTCTCCCGCACGACATCCATGTTTCCGACAGAGCGTGATCACCGGTTACGAGTGTAAGACATCGCGTTTAATCACTCGCGTGGATCGACGGTACGCTGAAACGATTTATCGTCATTCAACTCGGCGATTCTAATATTCGTCTGATCACGAAATTCGCAGACAACGAGCTAAAAGAAGTGGTGAATACGGAGCTTAATCGAGACCCGTGCCGAAACCGTCGCGAACCGACGTGAACTATCGCGGTTGGTACGATCACGTGACGTCGAATTCAAATAGTTTTAGTATAACAATATTCGGTTATAAACGGATCGCAATATGGCCGCGCGGGTTCATCGAGCTGTATCGTCTCTCGGTTTTCCCGAAATATTGGTCCGTTAAAAGTGAATCCTATCCACGAATTATCATCGGAGATGTCGAAAGTAAGTTATTCCGCGCGTTTATCGTGGAAAAACGTCGTTGGACAGTTGTCGGGAACGAATGTTTCGCGATATGATCTATCGGGAGTGCCGAATAAGATATCGCCCGTTCGTCAAATTATGATAGTTTAGAGTAAATTTTTGCATTGATCCATTTTTCGACCCGACAGAAGAGAAAATTTTCGCGAATTATCATCAGGGCTGGACAGCCTCGCGTGTTCGTCGTATTTCTGGCAGTTCGGAAAACCTCTAGTCGATGTGCGTCTACAGTTTCATCTTGTTGAAAGAAAAATCGGTAAGTAATGATAAAATAGATAAAATAGAGGTTGTAGCAAATATTGCATTTACGATTTTTGCATGACGCATGTCTTGTTTGCGAATTTAGTACGAATATAAAGCAAATGTTATATCTAAAAGACAGGAGAAAGACCGTATCGCCTGAGCTAAAAATCAAACAAAAAGTAACATATTGTAGTTTGGCTTTAGACGAATGTCGACAATTTCTTTTTATGACATACTAACAATCTCTCTTGATATTCTTGTTTATAATAAATCTCCACTTTTTATAAATGTGTGAAGTTGGTCTTCGCCACCTTTGACCAAAGACAGATGATCTTGTGTGAGAGAACAGTCGATAATATCAGCGCCCTTCTATTATCTCCGCGCCTGATGGTAATCACTAAACTTTACCCATACCCAATGAAGATATTGTATCGACAGAATGATGGATTATGTGATTTTCTAACCAAGTTCCCACAACTCGAAAATAGGTCTAGACGACGTTTCTCGTGCGCGCGTTAGAGCAATATAATTATATATTTATCAAATATATTTAATATTACATAAGAGAGGAGAATTTAATTTAGGGTACATTTAAATAATATATTTAGAGAAGGAACTCTAATCGGATTTTTTAATTAATCATTTATCGATTATCTACATAATTAATAATTATATATGTTATCTTTCAAACAGAGTAATTACGACAAAACGTAAAATCATAGACATAATTAATTATAATTAGAAAATTTCACTGAGAATCATTATGATACCTTGTCGTTATCGCGGCCATTCCGAATTGATTTTAGCGAAAATTATTAATAATTGCGAAGTGTGCCGCGAAGTTCCGGTCTAATTTCAGGAAACGTCACAACGTAGATCCGTACCATACCGATATAGAAGGAGAGTGATGGAAACACGTAAATATTAAGTATGCCGTATGGGTTATCACGACGGAATAGCGGCGGCAATGAATGAGACAGCGCATACGCGACGGTAATTAAATACGGGGGGAGACTAAACTTAGTAGCGAACGTTGAGCGAGAATATTCGAAAATTAAGTCATGCGATCTAGATCGTGCCGCAGCTTCCCATTCTTGAGTATAGAATTCATTTCACACGGTATGCATTCCGAAATACGCGTACGTAACGCGACAACGCGCACATGCATCCGCACCGATATATTGTCACTACTTGTACATTAAATCATCATTGTGTCTCCTGCACGCATACACGCATAAATTGTAGCGGTTTTCACTTTGGTAGCCGGAAATTATGGAATTATGGAAAATGATAGTATTGATAGTGGTTCGTCCCTTCATATTCCAAACGAATTCGTAACGTAACGAAAATGTAACTTGCAAGGAAACGTTATGAAGTATCCCTCGCTGGTTTCGACGGACTTCCGATACGTCATAGAGTGGCTCAATATCAAAATTATTTCGCGGCTATATTCATAAAATTGTTTTGATCATTACGTCGTCTGAATTAATCCATTTGCCGAAGTAGCTATCGGAGTAATTGCTTCTCATCGAATTCCGTTTTACCGACAATCTCCGCGTCGCGTTATCTCCTCGCGCACTCCTCGCGTGTGCAACTTTGCATTATGTATAAAAGTACACGCACCGGGAAACGGCGTCGGAACGGTTTTTCAGGCACCCCGTGGTGCGCGCTTATCTTCTCGAGAGATAACGCCCCGATACCGAAAATACGAGCCGTTCGATCGACCGTGTCGTATCGAAAGCCCACTGCCGTCTCCCGAACGGAACCCCACCCGGTATACACGTCTCTGTGCCTATATATCGGCCGTATGTATTCACGTATGTGCACGTGGAGTCTGCGGCCTCACGCACACATACACATGTGCCACACACAACACACGTACACATGTACGCATACGAGCCAAACACAAACGTACGCACACATATGTACGCGTACCGGCACATAAGTGTGCTCACATCGGGCATATATAAGGGTTGATAGTGCTCGGGCGAGCGAGTCACCCTTACGTGCAGGGCGTGGCCAGGGTCCACCAATCAGAGGACGGGGAGAATCTCACCGAAGGACCAAATCGAACGAAGTAAAAATTTCAGCGGTCGCGTCAAACGCCGACGCCAAAGGGGATGAGCGCGGTTGATCCGGGCTTACATTTTCCTTACTTACCCTCGCAGCGAATCGCCACACGCCACGCCGCGACACCCTCCTCAATGCCGTCCGTCTTGCACCACGACCTTTCACGCGTGATTGTACAGTTACTCGCGAACTTGTTTTTGTTATTCATTTCTCTTATGATCTCTTCGCAAACGCGACTCGGCTACCTTCCTGTATCTCGCGATTCATTTGCGAATTCGATTAATTGGATGAGTGTTATTTCACACGAATGCCTCGATTGTGAAATTTGTTGGTATCTGTAAAATCTACTTCACAAGTTGCACGTTTTTAATTTACGGAAACATATTTTTAACAACCACTTATAACACGCAGTGAATACGCTATATTAAGATTCTGATAATTAAATATTTAACTAATAACTTCTCATAAAATTGAGGGGAAGAAAGGTAAAACGTAATGTTTTGTGGGATATTTTAGTAAAAGAAATGTCTATTTTTCTTTAAGAAATATTTTTATTTTGCTTTATATTCTTTTTTTTTAATAATAACACAACACTTCAACACTGCACCTAATTGCACAACAAAGATTTGTATACAGCGAGTATACGTTCAGAATCCCTCTCAGTGTGTCTCACCCCTGTATTACGTACTTAATTAATCGCGTGATCCGTTAACAAATGAAGTAAGAAGCGATCACGCGTTTCTCCCCCTCGTTTGTAATTTCGCAGGCGGATCATAAGATCAAATCATTCGGGTGGATCGATTTGATTGTACAATTCGTGATAGTGTTGGGGCAAACCTTCCCCGGGAACGCCGCACACAAGAGATTCTTCCGCGGATTTCTCGCCGCCGAATTTTGGCCGCACAGAGTGGAGAACTATATATCGTTGGGTCGCAAAGAGCAGGCTGAAGAGAGACGCGTGGGACACGGGGGGAGGGGGAGGATGTCGGGAGGGAAGACGGAGTGGTAGGGTCTGCGTTTAATAGCCGTAGTGTTACCTCGGAGGCCCTTCGCCATTAAGAATCCCGCAAGACCGTCCCGGAGACCCCCTAGATACCCTCCCGACCCCCGTCTTGGTCGCCCACCCCCGGGTTTCCCCGGGACATATTACACCGCGCCCCGGTAACGCGGATACGATACGTGGCTGTACGTGCCCGCCTATGACTATATATCGCCGGAGAGGGTATACCACGGTACACTAAAATCATTAGGAGCACGTGCGCCTCGCAGCGCGCAGAATCCCGGTCCCTTGCCATTAGAATGCTTAGACGACGCTGTCCTATCCGGAGATCAATATCAAAACAACGCCGCGTGACCGCCCACTATCGCGACGACGCGAATTCCTCCGGCTTCGCCGGCTCTTGTCTCGCGAATTCGTGCGACTCCGTCAGTGCGAACGCTTTCTTTCTTTTCACGCCGAGTGGCTTGATCGATGAGAAGTTTCGAGGTGCAGGTGGAAGTCGCTGTGTGTCGTTGGAAGTCACTGAATTGCGCCATGGAAGTCGGGAGACTGGGATGGATTCGTTTAAACAAGTACCACCGCATCGATATTAGCTGATCTCCCCCTTTTGTCGTCTAAGACGTTTTTGGAATACTATGATAGAGAGTAGGGTGGAAAATTCTTAACTTTTATTCATACAAATATTTCTTTCGTCCATTCGTACTCGAGTTTATTGCGTAACTTCGGAAACTGTTGGTGATAATATATTCTGTTAATGATAATATATTAATTTTGCTTTCCGCTCGATAGAAGAAAGCAGTATTCGATAATAGTATCAGCGATACGTCCGCCTTCGTCGAGTAACAACCCCGTTAACCGCGTCGTCATCTTCGTGTTCTGACCGCGAAACTGAAGGAAAAGAACGCCGCTTACACAATCTTGGCGCATCTACTTTTCTAAATTACGTTGCTCTTCTTCACCGTCTCGACTCTTGCATATAAGAGGTCGCCTCAAAGGAGAAAGAGCGAGTGAAAACGAGCGAGGGTGGGTGTTAGGAGACGCGCGGAGGAGGACGTTGCGAGAGGGAACGTGAGAGGGGGTTGAAGGGACGGACGAGGGAGGGAATGAGAGGGACGAAGAAAATAAGCGAGCTGCAGAGAGAGCCGGTACTCTCTTCCTCGCGCTGCTTAAAATTCATAAGGCGCTCTGTTTACTTACTAAAGATACGCGGCTTGCCCCCGTCGCACCCCAATCCCGTGTCCCCTTCAGCATGGTGGTCCGCACCCCCGCGTTTTGCCGACGTCACGCGAGACCGTGCTTTATCGCGGAAAATAAAATTATTGGTTGCACTTTTCTCCGCGCGGGCGGCGAGAGAGCTCACGCCGCTCTTTTTGTCGTCGTCATCGTCGTTCGCGTCGAGAGAATCCCGTTGCGCGCATTTTTCCG